TCAGCGGAAAAGTGATACCTTTCCTTCCGATAACGACGCTCTGAGAAATACCCATGGGGGAAAGATCAGTCTACCGACTCTCACTCTGAAGACTAAAAAGAGGGAGAGAAAGAGAGAGACGATGCTGGCACTTGGCAACGGGATGCTCACCAACTCTATTGTAATTTAAGCTTTTTGGATTCTAGACTCACTCTTTAAAACCGTATAAAATACGAAGGAAAAGCTAAGGATTCCCGATTTCGTGCTGCGCGTTTTAGCTCTGGCACGGGGAAGGGGAAGGGAGGGTGGGGCATTGGTGATTCATGTTCTGCCTGATGGGGTACCAAAGGATCTCCATTGATGAGGAAACCAAAGCAACTTGTAGTTTATTAGTAGGATGTACGCTGCGCCGAGCAGCTTGAGATGCAGACTGGATGCATCTCATGTGGCAGCGAGAGGGGTTCGAGATCGGCGCCCAAATAGTATAATTAAGGCAACATTTATGTGAAAATTCCGGCTTTCAGTATCCCACGTGTTCATAAGTTGTTCGATGGTGTCGGTTGATAAAAAAGGCGTTTTTGGTCATTCATCAGAAAAAATGAATGGAATTAAATTAGTTATGAGCATGGCTAAATGAAAATTTTGATTGGATCTCTTTTTTTCAATGAACACAACACAGTCAATGCTCCAACAACATATCAACTATCCCAACCTAAAAATGAGTGTCAAGTCCAAATAAAACAACCTTTTTCAACGTAAGTATCTGATTGCACTTCAATGATTGGTCTAGAGTACAATAATTGAAGTTATAACATGAGTTAAGTTGGAATAATTAGTTTCGAGAATAAAATTATAGACTAAAAATGTTGTTTTTTTGTTATTATTTTGATGTGAGAATAAAATGATCAATTGAGATAAGATTGATTATATTTGCTAAGGAGAAGATAGATCCTCCACATTTACAATGTGATGAGCATCTTGAATTCCTCCCACTCAACGGTAGTTGACATGACTGTGAAATAACACCATATAAATATTTTCTTACATTAAATCATTTGCGCTGTAATTTTTTATATTTATATAATTAGTATTTACCAAACTTGAAACAAATAGTTAAATATTATTTTTTCAGACAAACCTAACATAGGAGGCATTGGTGAGCCCATGGTCATAACTTTTTTTTTTTTTAAATGCAAATGCTTCTAAAGCGGCTAAAAAAGAAGTAAAAAAGCAAAGAAGCAAACTACCACTTTTAAAGTGCATTAGGATTTTGATGTTAAGATAGTCTGCATGACTATAAATATTGGTCATACAAATATCCCAATAAGTTGCCTTGCTCCTACTATGATAATGTCGGTGATTTTAGGTTCTGCACTTCTATAGATTTTATTATTTTCTACTCCACCAATCACGAATCTTCTACTATCTATCACTTCTATGGTAATTATAATGTGTCATCAACAAATCCAACATTCAACACGAATCTCAAGGCATTCCATGGTTCTCAGGGCTATCTTTTGAGCAAGAGATATTTAAACTTTGATTAAATTTCATTCAGAGCTCCAATTTCAACAAACATATATTCGGACTGACCTGCTTGACGAGACGAACCCAATGATACTAAAATTTGTTCAATCCAAACCAAATCAAGCCTAATCAAGCCATTAAGCTGCTTTTGGAAGCTTTCCTGACATATTTGAAATTTCAAATGGTTGTCAAATCTGGCGAGCTCATTGCCAAACCAAGTGTCTTTATAAGCCGAATTCAACGAGTCTAAGCTCTCTCAATTCTGATATCATAAAGGCACTCAAATGTCCATCAAATTCTATTTGATTGAGGAAATATCTCTAGGATGTCCTATAAGAGTGGTTCATATTCTTTCATTAGTTGCAATTGAAATTCTGTAAAGAAAGTCCTGTCCTTCTCTTCAAAGGGGGGAGAGAGCTTAAAGCCTGAATAAGACTGAAGCTTGAAGAAGGAGCTGAAGTAGTCTCCTTCTTCTGCAGCCTTCAACCACCACTCGTCGCCCACCTCTGATAAATATCGACCATCGTTGATCACCATCTGTCGTCACCTAGCCCTTACAATGAAGCACCATGTGAAGAAACAACTGACATCGCGGAGCCACTAGGCAACCCGTGAAATGATGCATCATCCTTAACACCGAACTGGCCTCAAATACGGTGCTACATCTCACCCCGAAGTCGGTGTAAAAAAACACCTCAAAGTCAGTGCAGCAATGCATATCAAAGATGGGGTAAAGACACACCTCACATATGCTCCTTCAGCTCTCAGATTCGTCCCCTGCGACCTACGAAAGTCATTATGAGTCACCAATAAGGCCTACGTGACCGACTACGACCGACGTGGTCCACAGCTTGTGGCTCATAGCTATGTCCTATACAAACAACATGGCCCACAGTTCCCACAACTCCCTACTACGACCTCTATAGGCAACCAACGCTCTTGAAGCAACTATCTATGACCTACCTGGCCAACTATTATCATGGTTATCATCTACGACTTCTACAACAACGTGGGAATACAACTATCGTCAACAACACTCACAACTGACTACTACCTCCGCGACAATCGTCTATGTCTCATGCAGTCTATTGTCGCCAAGAAATACAACCAAATTATGAATATACAACTTTGTAATTCTATCTTTCCTAATTGAGGAGAAGAGCGAACCTATGTACTCACCATTTATAGTGGATTATTTCAATTGGGCTAGGCCCCATGGTTTTTTCCTCTTTTAAGGGTTTCTCACATAAAAAGTCAAGGTGTCTCTTCCTTCTTACTTCTCTTTAATTACTTGAGTGTGTGCTGGTTTTTTATTCAATACTAAGACGATAAATAATCATTACTCCACCGCCGCGAATCTTTTAGCACATATCAACTATAATTAATATTGTTAATATTGTTAATCCTTTTAAACTAAATAGTCTTTTTTTCTTAAACATTGGTTCCCCCAAAAAGACATGTATTATTTACTCCTACAAAGTAGTTATTGATGAAGATTTGGCTAAGAGGAAGGCTGAGGAGAAGACATGAAATGTTACTTTGGGTGGCACAAAGGATAAAAAAAAGAGAAAATTGTCATTCACTCAATTTAAGAATTTGGAGCTCTATTATAGTACATGGAAAAAAAAATGTGATTGCCTACTATTCTATTGGTTAGTTCATTATTGACTTTAACTTGACACTTTCTACAAAAGATAACTCACTAATCATTTACAATCTTTATCTCACTTTCTTCTAAAAGACAATTCACCATAAATGTGCTATCGCACTTACAAAAACCTACCTTATAGCTAATAAAGTAGATGTGGGGAGTTGAAAACAAATTTTCTAATGATTGAAGATTGTAAGATATTGATTCATTGAGTTCATAAATATTTTAAATTATTAAAATAATTAAGATCTACAGTTGTGAATTCAATAAATAAATAAATAACTCTATTAAAAAAGAAAGATGGTCTCCAAACTTTCATAAGATTGTTGAAGGTTTTAAGAAAATCATTTGAAAAGTAAGCATCATTGTCAATAGTGACTACCTAGTTGTGAAAACATCAACAAAAGAATGAACGAAAAAATAATATGACAAAGAAACTCATTTAGCGTTGTGTGAGAAAATGACCTAAAAAATGCCTAAACACTTATCTTTATTTCGTAATTTTTTTATATATATTGCAGAATTTTATTTTTTTGCAAGAAAACTTTTAAAGCAGAATTCAAAGTAATTTGGTTAAGTTTATTGCAGTGCCACAGTGCTAGAACCTGCACATAGGCACTATCTTAGAACCTTTCAATAATAGGTTTCTCAAGACCTTGGAATCACAATGCCAAGCACTCGGTGCAACATCGTTGGAATGAAGAGACGTAGAGCCAAGCTTCAAAGCAATATAATATTATTGATGCCAAAGCCAAAAGAAAGAAAGTGCAGAGCCTCAACACTGATTTCACAGTGTAACGGTGCTACGAATTGGGCATTGCAACACAACTATCTTAGCATGAAAATTACAAAATTGAAGGTGGGTTAGTAGTTGGAAGCACTCAGAAGACTTAAATTGGGCAAGAGAGTAGGAGTAGAGAGGGTTATGGTAATATAGGAAAGTCCAGTCCAAGAGTGAATGTGTATGTGAGTGTGTGAAGTGAGTGAGAAGTGAGACTTGCTTTAGTGGAGCAAGAAAAGAGGCAAGAAGAAGTTGAAATAAAACTTGAAAAGGGGCTATTTAAGTGAACTTTTCTTTGGAAAATCATGTCCTTTTATTTTTCATTTCCTTCTTTGTGAATCTATTATAAACATGTGCTTTTATGGATGAAATGAAAGAATTTTTATGTTTGTTGTGTAGAAATATATTAGGCTAAGCACTTGCTCCTATGAATTTGTAATTTAAAAGTTAATTTTTGTGAAAAAGATTTTTATTGCAATTTAATTCATATACTTATTTGTGCTTCCTTCAATTTTATTAGAATTAATGGTTGGCATGTTTTTTGTTTAAAATTTAGTTTATTTTAATGATATACACACAATCAGGGTTTAAGAGGATAGAAATATTGCTTTTGAACCATAACAACCATTTAAGGAAACAAAAAATAAAAATTTAAAATCACAAATTGTTTAGACATATCACATTAGGGATTTTTTAAATTAAGACTTTTAGCTATGGATAGAGATTTCACACCATGTTTATTTCTGATCGATAGCTAAATTTTAAATGAAACTTTGTTATGAATTTGTGAATTTTGATTTTATAAATCACAAATTCATAAGAGTTTTGTATTTTGGAATCTTTTCCTTTAAAAAAATAAAATCTTTCAAAAAATTCATAAGATTTTGATCAAGTGCTTAAATTTTGTGTAAAAAAGTCACAATTTATCCTCCTGGGAACGATCTCGTATGTAAGTATACTATATTACTTGGTCGACATGTGCATTTATTTTTTCTATGTAAAATTGGATCATCAAGCAATTTGAAAATTAAAGAATGAATGAATTATACTAAAAGAAAGACCACTAGATTTGGTCTTCTGAAGAGGAAATTATGACAAGTTACTCGAGGTTCATAGATTCAGAAGACAACAAAAGAAATTACCACTTGCCAAATTTGAAGCTCCTATCAATTTGTATTTTGATAAGTTGATTTATTGTCAGAGTAACCAAATACAAAGATTGAAACCTCTTTTTAATTTAATTAGTCATTAAAAATATACTAGTTAGAGAAAAAAAAAACTATTTATGCTTGAAGTCACTATGGATGAACTTTCTTTTATTCTTATTATTTTTATTTTACTTGTAGAATAAAACGAAAGAGTTCATACTTTAATATAAAAGTTTCCTTGATATTCATGTTTTAATAAAAAATTGTTACTTCGAAAATTCATACATCAACTTTTTTTTATAATTCGTCTCTATTTGAGCATTTCTAATACGCCTGATCATACATGTACCTGCCAGGGAACAACTAGACCAGCTTATTACCATGTCATATGGGATGAAAACAATTTCATAGCATATGAAATGCCGACTTTGACAAACAATCTTTGCTACACAAAGCCTAATCCCAATACACACTACTTTACATTTGAATCACAACCTGTGCGATACCTTACTGGTTTGTTCCAACTTCCAGGTATGCTCGATGCACTCGATCAATATACGTCGATATGTTTTTCATGCAGTTTAGAACCTGGGAAATCTTTCTAGATTGATTACTTGGTTGTCATTTGTTACACTTGTGCACAATATCAGGCTAGGAGAGTGTAGTCATATTCTTTTGATGAATGTCCAGTTTAGGTATTGAGGACTATGCTGTAAACATCAATTTGTTTTGTTTGAGAAGGAAAATAATAGTTGGATAAAGATTGGGATGTGTGAATGGAAGAAAGTCAATTTACTTGTATATTGTTTCATGTTATTGAATTTTATAATAACTCTTAATATTCTTCATTTCCAAGTTGAACACAAAGGCCTATTTGTGCTGATGAAAGCGAGCATTTGTTGAATCTTTGGTAGTAGCTTTTGCTTTTATAGTGACTATGATGGAAAATAACAATCAAATGGCTCAACTGATCACCATGACGAGAAATTTTTTCCAGAGGAAAACTACCTGTTACTAGAGAACAGGTTCAAATGTTTAGTCAATTTGGGAAAATGGGGATTATGCATGGAGTTTTATTTGATTAAGAGATATCATGGAGCTCTAATTATTAGCAACGGGAACCCGATTTGGCTAGAGTGATAGAAGCAAAAAACTAGTTATTAGTATCTTATTTGGCATGTAATATGCTGAACAAGTAAACAAAAATTTTGAAAGCAACAGATGAACAAGATACTACAACTATGGATCAACTTTCACCCAACGAAGGATCAACTAAGATACAACTATAAAATGTAGTTTATGTATTAGATATGTGTTAGATATGTAAATACATCAGATCTCGTTAGTATGCATGTAAATGCCCCTTTTTGTTTTTAAATTGTGTGAAGCATATAGGACGAATGAAGGTTGTTCAGGCATACTTGTATTCAATTTTTTTTTTTAATCTAGAATTTTAAGTTAATTATAATGCCAATTCTTTCTTATTTCTTAGATTCTTAATTTTTTTTAATTGTTACATATTATATTGATTCTGATACTCATATCCTATGGGTCTCAAATTCAAGATCAATAGAATACATACATATTATAGGTTAGCTCTTAATTTATCTTTTTTTATTTGGATAATTTCATAAATAGCACCTGAAACATGATACTGACAAAATCTATAACACTAATGTGATATTTTTTAGTGCTTCAATCAAACCAATTGAGACTTTGATAAAAGTGAAAAAGGTTTTATCAGGGTGCTGGATATGTAAATAGCAATGTTTTCGGATGCTATGTATATAATTGCCCAAAATAAATAAATATTATTCAAAAGAAAAATCAATCCCCAATTCTCCCTGCACTGCCCCTGGGCTAAGCATTGGGCACCAAAACTGGTCCGATTTCTCTCAGCCATGGCCACAAATTCTCGCCAATAAGGGGTTCGATTACCAGATGATAGCGGAATAATGTAGTGAAAGAGAGAGCTCGAGAATAAGTGAGCATGAGAACAACAAAGAACATAAATTTAAGCTCGTAAAGCACAAGCACTTAAACCCAGCCATGTCTAGAAACGATACTCAGTGATTTCGGACAACACAGGACAATATCACTAAACAACTAACTACGTTCAACTAAAGCATTAACGATAAGCAACACAGAAGCACGAAACTACCACTTAATCGGTGCCATTAAGAGAAATCCTGTCCAAAATCTTGGCCACCACCTCCTTCGATTCCTTCAGCAGCTGAATGCTCTTCTTCAACCGCTCCCTCTTCACCGCTGTAGCTGGAGGCTCCTCCAACATCTTCTCAATCACATCCATCCTCTCACCACCAATCACCTCCTTCGAAATCGCCGCTTCAAGCTCATTATCCACTAGTTTCTTAACAGCATAACTCACATGCAGAGCTAAACCATCCACCAACCTCAGCACCACAATTTTCCAATAAGAAATGAGCCTCATCCTCATATCAAACGCTTGTTCTACAACCACATCACGGATCCCCCGTAAATGAGCCACATCCACTTCACCAACAACCTTCACAATCATCTTTGTAGGGTTGTAGGTATTTTGAACAAATTCCACGAAAGATTGTCGAGGCACCATGAGCTCCGTCCACATCTTCATATAATCAGGATTGAAAGTATAGTCCGTAAACATTTCCATTTCTATGATTTCTTTGACATTCTGGATAGAGCGTTCTCTCATTTTCTCCATAAGATTCTGTGCAGCCCTTCTACTGCAAGCCCGAAGAGATGGATAATTCTCTGATGCCTCGTCAAGAGCTCGTAAAACTAAATCTTCAAGATAGGTCCATACCTTCTCTACAAAATCTTGCGGGATGCTCGAGACCTCCTTTACCTTCCTCTGAAGAAGGGTCAAAAAAGCTATTCTAGGGAGAAAGTTGGGAAGCCAAATGCCTCTGCTCTCTTCCAACAGCTCAATTTCTTCCATTAAGAAAAACTTCTTATTCATCGGGATATCATTTGGCAACTCTTTTGCATAAGCATTCAGCATTTCAGATAGCCTTGCAGTGCCATGCATTTGTTTATCAATTGGAAAATCATCGAATTCTCCTCTTATTAGCAGCTTCCTGAGCATCTCCTTGGTTTTGCTGGTGATCTGCATAAATGCTCTTAAGGCGTCGCCTACGGACACCAGCTGTTCAGGCATGGCGTCAAGATCTGAAACATTGTGACTCAGTTTTTCATTAATCTGCTTCACAATATCAGGCAAGTATTTTGCTATGCTTTGCGCTTGAATCCGCATCAGCTTCTTCGCCAAAACAGGGATCCCAACTATCGATTTATCGATCCCGGAGAGCTGAGGATGGGTCTCGAACAGATTCGCCTCTGCAACTCGAGCCTCCTCATAAGTTTCCGACCCAATACGATTTCTCACACAAACGTAACCGAGCCCAATGTTGACATCGTCGGCAGCTACTTTTTCAAGAAGGCCCTCCGGCGATTTATCAGCTTTCGTGACAACCGCGAGCGTCCTCTCCCCTTTGCCGTCCACCTGCTGCGACATCCGGATGGACTCGCACGTCGGGAAGTCGACGCTGGCTGAGAGCACATTAAGAATAATGCTCTCAGCAGGCTTTATATACTGCATAATAATGGACGCGATTTGCTCGTATATATTCTCAGGCTGGCCGTGTACGGGCACACGGGTGATACCGGGTAGGTCGACCATGGTGAGGTCCGGTACGCCTTTCTTTCGAACGACGAGGGTAAGGGGTGTGTCGGAGATACCTTTTCCTACTCCGGCGATCTCAGCGGTTGCAGACTCGACGGCAACCGTGATGGTTGACTCGGAAGCGGTAACGCGCTTGTTCTTGTACTCGAGATGGAGTAAAGGGGAAGAAAGAGAGGGGTCGTCTTGGAGCCGCATGATGAGGGGGACTCGGGTGCATATACCTTGGCCGCGAGGAAGACTGATGCCAGCAAGGGATTCGAGTACGGAAGATTTGCCAGAGGATTGGTCGCCGACAACGACGATGGTCGGTAGCTGGATTCCTTCCTGCGTTACCTTGAGCTGGCGGAGGCGGTCGACGGCGTCGAGGACGGGGCGTATTTGGTCATTGTAGGAGGACGTGAGGAAGTTGATGGTCTGCTTGCTGTCGTTGCAGGAGAGCTCCATTGAGATCACTGTATGTTGGCTACAGACTTTAGAGCGGAGTTTGCGGTAAGAATGGGATTTTATCGGTGGGTGGAGTGAGAAAAATTAGGATGCTTTTCTCTCAGTTTCCAGAAAAGAAAAATCAGATGCTTTTCCCATACTTTTTCAGTTTTTCCACTTTCAAGAAATGGGATGCTTTCCCTATTCAAATACTTTATCAATCAATGGAGTCGCTTTTTTTTTTTTTGCTTTATTTTATTTACATATTTTTTATTTTACGTGGTTGTTTTTATTAGAGGGCATTTCCAGTTATATATTTTAATCATGTATTTTTATTTTCGACGCTTAAACTTCAATTTTTATATTTATTTCATTTAAAGTTTTCTTATTACATTAAAAGAACATCCAACCCATACGCTATTTGTAAATTTATTCCTCATGTTTTCTAACTCTTTCATGCATATAATGATTAAATCATCAAAACATTGAAATATAAATTTAAATTTTTTTGTTGTAAATTTTAATAGTTTGATAAGTGTTTGAAATTAAGAATGAAAGTATTAATTTTAAACATACTTTATACATATAATTGCTCATATAAAAATTAGATAAGTTTTTATTTTAAGCTATTTTTATTATCCAGATGCTTGTAGTGCTGCCTAAAATCGTACTGACATCCTGCTGCTTCTTTTTAGATGCATTAATTAACCTGCGCCGACACGTACGGCTCCTGAGTTTCACTTTCTTTGGTTATCCGTGCTGCCTGGTCCCTAATAAAAAATTGGCGTGAAATGTACGGTCTCCGGTCGTGCCTTTATTTTCTTAATATTTTCTGTGGGTATAAAAATATATTTTAGATATATATATATATTATGTATTATTTTTATGAAATTAGAGCTCACGGTGATTTCTTTCTCTCCATTTTCCAGTATTTACATAAAAAATTAATTAAGAAAAAATAATAATTATAATAATTACCGTTTAAGATTTCATAGTGTTATTTTTCTTGCGAATTTTACGCAAATAACACAATTTTAAGTGTCAAATTTTGATTTGGTTGTAAATCATATCTTACAAATCATGAAATGCAAGATAACAAAAGAGAGAATGAAAAATAATTTTGACATGTCTTACTCATAAAATAATTTTAATATTTATAGAGAAGAAGTTTCATTAATGATATTATATTTTGTTATTGTCTTAAATATATCATTACTAGAATATTTTTGGTATTTTACATAAATAATTTTACTGTCAACAAACCTTCTAGCTCAATCAACTAAGTTCAACTGGCTTCGGATTTACAAGATCAGCTAGATTGACTGAGATTGATCGATATGGGTCGACCGATTGATATGGTCTGGTTTTCGATCCTTGATCACCAATGAGGAGCCTTCAAAGTGTGTATGATATTGTTGGAGATATTGTGGAACTAGATATTCACTTGGATCAACTCTATTGAAGCGTAGACTATCACATCAGGTCAGCTTTGCTATTGTGGTTGACTCGGATGCTCTTTTTTTCTTGTTCTAATAGAATGATTTGAGCTCAAATTATCCAATTGTCTTCTTGTCTGCTTTGTTGCTTGGTCGATTTTGGTTTTACTAGCATGACTCAAATGGCTTTCTCAATCGGTCAAGCGGGTCTTACGATCTTCCAGCAACTGAGCAGCCTTTGTTATACTTCTCACGACCCGACCCAAAGCTTGAAATTTACGAAGCTGAGAACAGATTGTCAAACGATTGGAAATAAATTTTATATATTTATTCATCATTTAAATTAAAGCAGTAAAATTTAGTTGACCTCGTTACTAGTTATCCACATCTTCTATAAACATATTATTTTCTATCATTATTCTTTTAATTGATTAAATTAACCTGAAAAGTTAGGTTAAAAATTACAATAAATTAATTAAGTCAGTGAATACTCATACTCATAAACTCTAGTAATACAATGAAAGAAAAAATATTATATATGTCGATAAAATTTTTAAATAAATCACTATAAATATTTGATAATTTTTTCAATGAATTTTATATAAATAACATATCAGTATTATTTTATATATGTATAACCATCACATGATTGTCATCTAAAAATTATATCACATATGCTACTTCAATATTAATATTCTTTTTCATATACGTGCACAGTGCATTGGTACTTAGTATTCCCCCACTAATACCATCAATGTGTGACTCCATCATATCTAATCATGTACATACAATCATCCAATAAAAATACAACTTTCTAGGAATAAATAATAATTTCTCAGTTGCAGGACTCAATATACTTATAAATAATTCAAAACTTATATCTTAGTATTACATTTGAATATATGATTGCTCATATAAAAAAAATAAAGAGCAAAGTGCCAAATTAGTTACTTAATTTTTAGTATAGGATCGTTTTAATCCCAGAGTTTATAAAAGTAACAAATTTATCCCCGAACTTATTTAATTTGGGCTCTAATAGTCATCTATAGAGATTATTTTCGTGACAATTTAAAGAATGACCAATTTGACATATCAAAAAAATTCTAGGAATAAAGGAGGCCCCATCTAAATAATTAGGAACTATTTTAACACTTTACTCAATAAGATAAGTAAGTTTATTATTATTTTTTTTATTCTGAAGCTTCAGCTTAAAATTATACTAATATTTTGTTGCTTCTTTTTAGCTGCATTAATTATTCAGAAGATCTCGCCATCCGTACGTCTCCCACAGACCATTTTTTCTTGGGTTATGCGTGTTCCCTAATAAAAAATTGATGTGTGGCCCATAAAAATCAGCTTTTATATGTATTAGTGTCTAGGTTCATCTTTATAGAAGTAGCATTTACGATCATTTTTTATTACTCTACATTTACAAGCTCTTACATTAAAAATTAATAAAGAAAAAATAATAACTATAATAATTATAATATGAGATTAAGAATTTATTTGAGGCAGCTGTAGCTTATTTAACTTATCCTGATAATTTGATAATAAACATCTAATTCGGATAAACTGTCTGTCTGTTTAGTTTGTGCGTTTAGAGAATAACTGATTCTAGAAAAATGACCAATCCGCCTCTGTTCTGGATAATCTGAAGTTGTTTGGTTTGTGCGTTTTGTAAACAGCTGATTTGCATATTTTTTTATAAATTTACCAAACTTCTTAATACAATCAGAAAATGAAGCTAAATGTGAAGATTGTAGACCATGAAAATACACAACATTCTTAAAATTTCAAACGTTAAGACATAAAAAATATAAAATATTTATCACTTAAATATTTCAGATCACATCATAGAAGCAAAAAACCTAAACAAAAGTGAAATACACCTTAACATATTAATATGTACTATAATGAGATCCAAAAAAAAAGAAAAAAAAACATGTTAAAATAACAAGGAAAAAATTATAATGTTAGCTTTAAAATGTAGCAGCATATCGCGACACATGCTGCCCTGCTCTGACACTCCAGAACTCTGAGCAAACATGTCCGAGTGGGATACTGTACAAATGGAAGCACTCGAACCAGAAACAGTGTTTTTAAATTGTAATAGTGACGAACTCCGAGCAGCGGTGTCCAGTTGGGATATCATAGAAACCACAGTCGTCCTGCCGTTGTGCCCACCGCGGGCACCTGTAAAATTGTCTCCCACAGCTATGTGGTTAGCACAACGTGAGTAGCAAGGTCGGTAGCCCGCATCGGCACATCACTTGCCCTAATTTCCCTAAATATCTGGAGCTCATAGTACTGCAATTTTTAAAAAGAAAATAGATCAGTCAAAAAATAAATGAAATAAAGAAAATATACTTACCATTAGGCCTATAAATTTAATAGCAGCGGTTGCCCTAATAGACATGGGCCATCCAAGCTGCCTATAATTTGAATTTCCAGCTTTTCAAGGAAGCAAAGCAAGGCATCTTACCAATGCCATTCAAAACAACATAGCCAGCTAAAATTCTCTATATATTGTTGTCATTCAAAATACCAATGATGCAAAACCTCTCCTGATATTAAAAAATTAAAAATTTACATACATAGCACACAATTCATATGTATATACACAGCTAACACCTAATTTTCATATAAAGAACTGTACTCACCAAACATACAACACATCCATGGTATTGTACTCACCAAACATATACCACACCCATGTAATTACAAAAAATGAATTGTTCTTCATAGAACTACTATTCGCAAACCTTGAAGATATAAATAGCATTTTGTAAAATAATTAAAGTAGATAACAAAACTATTGCTTTGGGAGGAAGCTCACCAATACAGATCTTTTCTTAAGGCAACAAGCTCATAACAAATAATAGCTAATAACTATAATTCCATAAAGTAAAGTTGCCTTTGTAAAGTTGTTGCCAGGTTCCAACATGTAAAGTTGCTGCTCGATACATGTATACCATAGTATATTGAACTACCATAGTAAACACACAAGAATTGTGTGCTATGTTTATAAATTTCCCAAAACTCTATATAAGACAACCTATGGAACTACATAAGAACCTCCCTTGAAGTATAAGTTGGGATTCAGACCATATGTAAATTTCCCAAAAATAAAATATAAATAAATGAGTAGAATTCAGACCATTTCAGGAAATATCAAGATGCTTCACAACCAACCAATATCAGTCCAGGGCACCACCATTCCAAGAAATATGCTAATGTGTAACAAATATGCTACATAAAATTCTTCCAGCAATAGACTCATACAAAATAAAGTCTGAGATGAGCAATAGACAAACAAAAACCACAATATTACTTCTCCTCCAACCATTTCAGTAAGTGAAATGGTATGCAAATACCTTGTAAACAACAAATATTTGTATATAGCTAAATATAAGTGAGCTAACATACCTAAGCAGATGAAATATAAGTATTTCCAATTTCATGCAGTGAGCTAGCAAGAATGTCAAGACAGCTCATTCATTTCCAATTCTTTCTAGAGAGAACACAGAAATGAAGCCTTTCCAACATAATTCAAGACTATTTTTAAGGGATAAGATGCTTCATTCTATGATTGCATTGTTTCCAGCATAAACTTTAATGGCATCCATCTCACCAAGTAGGGTGTTGCTGAGCCCATAAGCAATGTTATGAATAGATAAATTGCTTACGCATGATTAGATAAATTGCTCACGGGTGTTGCTCCAGCATAATCTCT